ACACACACACACACACACACACACACACACACACACACACACTGTATGAACCTGCAGCATTGACATCAGAGTCTTGGAGTGGGTTTGTGTTTGCCTCCAGGAGTCCAAGTCCCCCAATCAACAACACCACTGCATCCAACTTCTGCTCCAGCTCTGTGGTCTGCTGCTGCAGCCCTGCCTGAGAGGAAACACCAATACAATTTAAAAAAAAAGGATTTAAAAGTACAGTTGGAACCTAACGATAAACTAGATTTGCACAATAAGGTAAGCTCTGCTGCACCTGCAGGGCGGCAGCCTCTTCTCTCAGAGTCATGGTCTCTGCAGTGAGAGCATCAATCAGACCGCGCTGCTCTCTCAGCTCCTCCTCCAGCTTTCTCCTCTCCTCAGCCTCTTTATGAACTCTCTCGTCCGTCTAAGGAGAAAATGGGAAAAGTTAAACAGATGACGTTGAAGTAAACACTGTGCACAACTTTGACTGTTTTCAGAATTATGTCATTGTTGATTTCAGATGCAAAAGATCCTGGAGATTTGAAGTGCAACATTACCAATATGATCTGTTTAATAGAGATGAAATGGCTTCAAATATTCATTATTAAACATTATGACAAAAATATGGACCCTTAGTTCATGTATGTTTAGTGCAGAATGTGTACACTGTCCATGAGAGATACTAATGGAGACTTCATTGTACCTTTTTGAGGTGGGACACTAAACGTCCGATCGTGGAGATCAGTGCTACAGAGAACCCAGTGAGGCCTTGTGTTCTGTGCTGATTTGGACTCTGTGCTGACCCTGGTTCTGTGTCAGGACTCATAGTATCCAAGTCGGCCTCCACCTGACCCAACATGGACTGGAGCAGACCCAGACTAGACTGGTCCCCACTAAGAGAAGCAACACAGGAGCCATTTAGCTCTGAGCTCCGAGAAACACACTTCCTGGTCCTGCTGGTTCTAGTGCGGATCCTTCCTGCAGAACACATACAAAGAAAAAACAAAACATTTTACTATATGAAGGCATTTTCACATTTAAAACTTTTATTCTGAAGAACACAATCGCTAGCAGACATTACCCGACTGGTTGAGAGGCCCGTCGGGGTTCAGGACCTGAGAAACCAGGACAGACAGTTCCTCCTTGTCCTCCTCTGGTTGGCTCTGGCTGGACCGAACACGCTGAACAGCCATTGTGGCATTTAGAGCTGAAAAATGCAGGATGAGTAGCATATGAATGTAACAAATGAGAGTATGGAAATTTTCCTTTAAAGTCGACACGAACCCAAAGCGGACTTCACATGGTCTGCTCACCTGCTTGATCTGGTGCTCTCCCTGATGTACAGGGGGTCGAAAGAACATTATCTCTGTCTCCATGGTCAAAGACGGGACGTTGGACTTTCTGCCGCTGTGTAACTTTACCACGAGAGTGTGCCTTCATTTTTCTTACATTGGCCCTGCAAAGAAAAGAATGCGAGGGATGAGGTGAAATGAGGTGAAATGAGGTGAAAACACAAGGGACTTTCTTTTCTCAGATTGAGGTGGTGTGTTGGACATTAGTACCTTCTCATTACATGATAGTTTGAACTGCCAGAGGGATATGCTTCTTCATCACTGTAGTCTTCCTCTGAGGCTTGAAGTTCATTAAGAGCCTGGATGCATGTTAAGTCAAAAAGTTTATGGTCATGCACTAAACTTACAGAATATTTTTATTTTTAAAAAACAGTGTTTGATGAAAGTTGGTGATGACGTATTGCTCAGTAACATATCAAATATTGACAGCATTGTTTTTTCACACACAAACCTGCTGGTCCATCATGGACTGGCTGAGGAGGGACAACTGAGTCGGAGGATCTGGTCTCTGGAGAACAGGCAGTTCTGAGTCAGAGTCACAGTTTGGAGCCATGGTCACACTTGGATGCCCTGTTAAAATATATATATACACACACACACAGAATTATTTACATGATCAATAAATGGAAATACCAGCATTGACCCCTAACCTTCCATGATGTTAACATCTCAGTTGTTTGCTACCAGTGTGTCTGCGAGGAGCATCTCCAAACAAATCCTTGACCACAGCCATGGCTCTGTCAGAGCGGGCCAGCACATCCTGCAGCAGCAGCTGGTCTGAGAAAACCTGCAGCGTTACAAAAACATTCATCACATGTAACTCAGTACAGGGAAAGAGTTTGGAATCATTTTCAGACAAGCAGCAAAACAAACACTAAAGAGAAAATCCTAGTCACACACCTCCCTGATGATGCTGAGGCTGGCATGATCCAGAGGTGCAGGACTACAGCCGCGTCCGAGACGACGTTTCAGAGCTTTCTCCCTCAGTTCCCACTGAGCCGCTGCCTTGTTGTGGGACTTGTGAATCTCATGCCGATGACTCTGAGCAGAAGAGAACAAATGCATAGGGATGGTTACAAAGAATGAACCACTGAGGAATTATGAGGCTTCAGCCCCCGATCGATAACTGTATTTAATGTTTCAGTACAATCAGCTAAGTATACTAAATGCAGTATTCCTGAACAACATCATGGTCCCAGACCTTACCAGCTCTGCAGGTGACAGCTTGTGCACAGACAGGTCACTGACAGTGCTCTGCAACCAACACAGAACAGATGACGTTACTACGCTTCAGGTTGAACAGGCTGAGGGTGACTTTGTTTTTCTGTTCTTGTCAGTACTCACCACCCACTCTCTTCTGGGAGCTGCTGCCTTCTTGGGACGAACAGGCCTTTTCCCTTTGTGTTGTTGTGAACGTCCCACTCTCACCAACGACATCTGCTCACAGGCAACGATAAGAGTCAGAACATGTGACTGTGGAGATACTGTTGATTCTGTAAAGCAGCTGCACGCGTTTCAATCACTGACTGATGCTAAGCTAGCTCTTTGTTACGTTCCAAGTGAAGTTACAGCATCGGTAGCTGCTGAGCTAGGCTACACAGCGTTGCTAAACGTTAGCTACATGTTAACACGTACATTGTCAAATAGTGAACAAGCACTTACGTTTCAGAAGCCGCGTCTCAGGTTGTTTCTGCCGCTTTAATCTCTGAGGCTGGTGTCAACTCTCCTCCAGTCTGTGTTTGTGACAGTTTTTCAACAGTTGCGCGCCACTTCCTGTGCTGTTGCCACGGACACCGCTTCACCGCGGAGGATGATGGGAAGGGAAAGTGAGCTGCGGCTCAAGCAGACACCACTAGATGGCAGTGTCACGCAGCAAGTCCCATGCTGGTGTGAGGAGGAGGAGGAGGAGGAGGAGGAGGAGGAGGAGGAGGAGGAGGAGGAGGAGGAGGAGGAGGAGGAGGAGGAGGAGGAGGAGGAGGAGGAGGAGGAGGGAGAGTACCTGAAGATGTCAAACTGTCAAAACTCATCACCTGTTTCTCATCTGGAAAATAAACTGAACAAAACTCAGACAGTCAAACAGGATTCTGGGTAAATTGCTCAAAACTTCTCTCTGATGTTGAAATGTTTTTTGACGAGAATACAACCGGAATAAGGGTGTTTCACCTTCAAAGTAAAAGCATGACTTTGAGAAGGTTTCATTATGTGGCTGGCATCAATGAGTGCTGAAATCGACTGGATGATACATAACAACGGTTGCAGTAAATCACAGCATATTTATTTATAAATGATGATTAGTGCAACCGATTAAAAATGTCTTAGACAAAAGGTTGAGGTGAAAATGTCTTAATTATTATAATTATGAGATTCTCACGGTTTGAAATAAATGTATGGGTGTATAGGCTGTTTATTTATTGTCTTTATTAAAACAAAAGTGTTGCCTCATTTAAAGGACCCACCAAAGTTGCAACACGCACATTATGTTGTGTGTTTTGGGTTTAAAAGTTTGAACAGGAAGTTGGACGTGTTTAGTCATTTATAACTTGATGCTGGTCGCTTTATCGCTGTTTTAAGCAGAGGTGTGTTTTTGCATCTGACTTTTTTTACCCGCCCCTCGCCCACTCTCACTCTGAAGTGAAGACTGCGCGCTTCAGTTCAATCTGACTAGACTGGCCCACACTTGGCTCCATGACTCCTGACGCACGACAATGCGCACTGAGCCACAGGAGTTTGAGGACTTATCGTTACGCACGGAGTTCGTGGTGAAGGGGACACGGGAGTGACAGCAGCTGTGCGCCCATGGCCTACAAGTGTTTGTTTCTCTGCATCCCTGTGGAAAGTCATTTGAAGATTCAGTAGGAGACGTGTACTGCCTCGCTGGAGTGCCAGAGGAGATCCATTAGTCTGTCACTGTTGGATTTACCAGAGCTCAGAAGGCTTACAGCTGGAATCTGTATAGTTCTTTTGCATTTTTGGCACATGTTCCTTCAGTAGCGTAATTACGCGTTTAAAATTTTTGGATCATAACCTGAGCTGCAAAGTCACTTTTGGAGACTTTGGATCTGAATTACGCACGCGATTCCTCTAACAAATGACAGCTACGAGGTTTGTTGCTCTCCCACTGCATCCCCTCAGCTCCCTCCATCGCACCAATCGACCGTGTCACACCTCCACCAGAAGCGGGGAGTGAAAGCCTCGCTGTCCCATCCAGTGTGCCAGCCTTCGGCCGCGGGCCACCTGGTCGAGGATGTGGGGCGGAGGTTTCCCGACGTCTGTCACCGTGATCGTGACACTCCTCCTGGTCATCATCGATGTGAAAGCGAGCGGGGAGTATTGCCACGGCTGGCATGACTCCCAGGGCGCGTGGAAGGAAGGGTTCCAGTGCCCGGAGAAGATCGACGCAGAGGACGCGATCATCTGCTGCGGGAAATGCGAGCTGCGCTACTGCTGCTCCAGCACGGACGCGCGGCTGGATCAGGGGAGCTGTGATAACGATCGGCAGGCGCAGGAGCCCGGGACTGAGAGCAAGGAGAACAAGGACTCCGGGGCAGGTATAAACACAAAACTTCTACTGCTGCAAATATTAAAAATGTTAATCATCATACTACCCAATTACGCGCAAAGCAAAAGTTTGGCTAAAAGACTCCCCAAAAGAGGGTAAATTAAGACTTTAAAAGTTATTTAGTGAACCTGAATATGTTGGGATGTGTTTTCAAAGTATATGATGAGTGTCAAAGAAGAGGCCTCACAATATTCACTGTTGATGTGTGACAAAGAAAGACTGTTGGGACAATGCGTAAAAGTTGTTGTGCCAGTGGAGTGACTTTGGTGTCTCCAAAAGGTTGTTTGTTCTCAGCTAAACCTTTGTTCTTAATAGTATTCAATATAAATATCATAAAAACTAATGCGTTAACCAACTCCAAGGGTGAGTGAGGTGGCACCGGGCCCAGGGCGCACGCCCAGGATGTCTCAGATTTAATACTGTAAATCGCAGCCCTATTACAAACGCAGGCCTCCTCTCATAAACCCCACACAGCCACAGTATCTCCCTGTTAAGAGGCATCATCTGCATCGACAGCTGCACAGGAGACAGCAGAGACTCCTCCAGGAACCAGTTAACTGCACTCACAAATGGCACACTGTCTGCACCGTGTTGCAGCACTTTATAAATAGCTGTGTTTGTTCTGGCTCGTAACAGTGCGAGAGGGGCCGGGCTCAGATCACGCTGTCCTCACGGGGATCAAGTTTGGACTTGACCGGATCTTGGACAGTTGCTCTCACCAAAGGCGCTGACAGGCCTGTTCATAAAAAAACACAAATTGCGTTATGTATCGCTTCCTACCAGACTCGTGGAGTCCATTTCCCATCGTCAGGCTGCTCCTGTAACCCCCCACCCCATCACCACCACTGCAGCCTCTTTCTGGTGTCTCTGTGCTTTCAAGGGATTCATACTCAGATCTGTTTTATTCAAGACACATAGTTCGCTAAAAATACTGCACTTAAGAGAGGCTTCATTACCAAAGGAAACATATACATTTCAATTTATATGGTGGATTAGGTGACTACATCAAACTTTTTTCTCAGGCCTGGCTCCTCGTTCATCAATGCTGATATTCCCACATGTTAACCATAAAAGACTCTTAAAGCTGCGTCATATCTGGAGTAAACAATGAATAAGGTGATTGCAGCACTCCAGAGATAGAATAGATAAAATAGGCAGCGCAGGCCCATTTCATAATATCCCTGGAGGATATTATGTCTTCTTCTTCTGGACCTGCAGCTATAATCTGTTATTTGCTAAGACCATCCTGCCTTATCACTGCAGGAAGAGGCATATACATTTCATTCAGTGGCCTCCAGCCAACATAACTTAAAGAAAAGCAGCTTTCTCCTCACCAAGAAGAAAGGAAATGATGCTTTTTTTCCACCACTCTAAGCCATGCTCAGTTTGTGCATTTCTTTCATTTTTCATGTGCTAGCGGCTTATTAATCATCCAGGAAAGATACACATTGCAATGTCAATGGATAACAGGCAGGAAATTATTAATGCGCTCAACATGAAGGAACATATGGTATTTGGGAACAGAAGAATGCCCGTGGGATAGCCGGGGGAGAGTCCAGCCAGTCAGCCGCAGAGACTGTGCCCAAAACAAGGGCTTAGGAGAGGGGGCTGCTGTTCCTGCTGCATGGCTGCCACAGCTCAACCGCAGCAACAGGTGTGGAGGGGTGACAGCGAACAATAGGAGGGTTTCAACCTCCATGTTCACAAAAAAGGGATTTCTGGGCTCAGAAATTCACACAGAGCAAAAGAAAGGAAATCAAGTTACATTATAAGTATAATATTGAGGTACTTTAAATGAATAGTTGTATTTCATGGTACTTTATAGGCCACTACAACTCAGAGGAAAATGCTGTGTTGTAAATTCAACTCAAACCGGTCCAAATGTCTTTGTAAGAGAAACTCGGGAGCAGCAGATAAAAAGTAAAACAAATGAAGAT